AAGCCCAGGACCAGATGRATACACAACTGAGTTCTACAAGATCTTCAAAGAACTAACACCAGTACTTCTCAAACTATTTCATGAGATATAAGAGGGAATACTTCCAAACACATTCTATGAGGCCAATATCACCCTGACTCCAAAATCAGACAAGGACACATCAAAGAAGGAAAACTTCAGACCAATATCTCTAATGAATATAGATGCAAAAATTCTCAATAAAATTCTGGTAAATTGAATACAAAAACATATCAAAAAAAAATAGTACACCAGGACCAAGTGGGGTTATCCCAGGGATGCAAGGTTAGTTCAACATACGGAAATCAATAAATGTAATTCATCACATCAATAGACCCAAAGATAAAAATCATATGATCATCTCAATAGATGCTGAGAAAGCATTTGATAAAATACAGCATTCCTTCATGTTCAAAATGCTAGGAAAAACTAGGGATAACAGGAACATATCTCAACGTCGTAAAGGCTATCTATGCTAAGCCCCAGGCCAACATCACTCTTTTTTTTTTTTTTTTTTTTTTTTTTAGAGAGAGAGAGGGAGAGAGAGAGGGAGAGAGAATTTTTAATATTTATTTTTTTTAGTTTTCGGCGGACACAACATCTTTGTATGTGGTGCTGAGGATCGAACCCGGGCCGCACACATGCCAGGCGAGCGTGCTACCACTTGAGCCACATCCCTAGCCCCGCCAACATCACTCTTAATGGAGAAAAATTGAAAGCATTCCCTCTAAACACTGGAACAAGACAAGGATGCCCTCTGGGCAACTTGGTGACACCCTGTCTGAAGAATATATCACAGTAGGGGCTGGGATTGTGGAGTGCTTGCCTAGCACCTGCGAGAACCTGGGTTCAATCTTCAGCAACACATAAAAATAAAAGGGGGCTGGGGTTGTGGCTCAGCGGTAGAGCGCTTGCCTCGCATGTGTGAGACCCTGCGTTCGATCCTCAGCACCACATAAAAAAATAAGTGAAATAAAGGTATTGTTTCCAATTACAACTAACTAAATATTTTAAAAAATAAATAAATAAAGGTATTGTGTTCAAATACAACTAAAAAATAAATATTTTAAAAATAATGTATCACAATGAATTTCACCTTTATGTAAAATTATAATGCACTAATTTAAAAAAATAGAAGAAAAATCACTAGAAGGAAGGAAAGGGAACAGGAGGAGGGAAGAGAGAAGGGAAAGGAAAAGTAGTAGGGACTGAATTGGAGTATAAATTATATTCTATTCTTGTCTAATTATGTCACGATGAACCTTAATATTATGTATAACTAAAACGAGCTAATAAAAAAGAAAATAAGAAGGACTGGGGATGTAGCTCAGTGGTGGAGTGCTTACCTAGTATACACAAAACCCTGGATTCAATCCTCAATAAAATGAATGAAACCAATTGGTTCTTTGAAGAGGTTAATGAAAAGTTCATTTAGCTACATTGAGAAAGACTTAGATTATTATTATTTTTTAAAAAATATTATTTATTTTTAGTTTTTCGGCAGACACAACATCTTTCTTTGTATGTGGTGCTGAGGATCGAACCTGGGCCGCACGCATGCCAGGCGATGCTCTACCGCTTGAGCCACATCCCCAGCCCCAGACTTAGATTATTAAAATCAAATGAAGATGGGAACATCGCTTCTGATTCTATAGAAATAAAAATGAGTATAATGGAATACTATAAACAAGTGTATCCAACAAGTTGGTTAACAGATGAAATGGAAAAATTTTTAGAAAGGCAAAACTGAAGACAATCATTAGGAAATAGTAAATTTTAATAAACCTATAATTCACAAGGAGATTTAATCAATAATCCCAACATTTTAAAAACTGAGGAACTACCTCAACTTAATAAAGGTCAGATATGGGAAAATCCCCAGCTAAATCGTAATGTTGATAGATGGAAAATTTTACATTTAAGATCAGAAGAAAGGTAAGAAAGCCCGCTCCTCCCTTTCTGGTTTAATATGCTACTGGAGACATAGGCAGAGCAATTAGACAAAAAGCAAATAGAGATCAAAAGTGGGAGGATGAAGTAAAATCTCTTTTCATAGATTCTAAAGATCACACACACATACACACACACACACACGCACACACAGAGTTAAAACTAATGATTTCTGTAAAGTTGTAGGATACAAACTCAATATGAGAAATTCAGCATTATTTTTATATACTAATAATGACCAATCCAAAAAGGAAATTAAGAAAACAATCCTATTTGTATTAGCATCAAAAAGAATGTATACTTAGGAATAATCCAAGAAGGAAAAATACTGAAAACTACAAAACATGAATAAAGATAAATCAAATACAAAAACAGGAGGCAAGAGAGGCAGGGAGGAGGGAAGCCATCCACTGTTCCCAGATTGGAAGTCTGTAAACCTGGGGAGATCTACAGATTCAGTGCAACCTCTATCAAAACCCCATGAGATCTTTTTTCTTTTATTGCACAAATATGAAAAAAATCCTGAAATTTATATGGTATCTCATGGGCCCCCCAAACAGACAAAACAATCTTGAAACAGAAGAACAGTGTTGGAGAACTCACATGTTCTGATTCTTAAAAAATACTACAAAGCAATGGTAATAGACATTGTGGTACTGTCCTAAAGGCAGATGTATAGACCAAGGGAACAAAATATAGAACTCCAAAATAAAACCTTCCACACACAGTCAGATGACCTCAACAAGGAGACCAAGAATAGACAGGAGACGGAGAGTCTCTCCAAGTTTTGGAAAAACCTGATACGTACAGGCAGAAGAATGAAGTTGGACTCTTCCTCATAGGACAACACAAAAATACAACTGAAGCTGAGTGTGGTGGTACACACCTGAAATCCCAGCTATTTGGGTGATTAAGGCAGGAGGATAGCAATCCCAAGGCCAGCTTGGGCAATTTAGTGAAGTCCTGCATTAATAAAATATAAAAAACAGTTGGGCATAGTGATGAATGCCTATAATGTCAGCTGCTCAGGAAGCTGAGCTGGAGGATGGCAAGTTTGAAACCAGCCCAAGCAACTTAGGGAGAATTTGTTTCAAAATAAAATAAAAAGGTCTGGATATGCACCTCAGTGGTAGAGGCCCAGTGTTCAATCCCCAGTACCATGAGGGTATGGGGAAGAAAAAAACCACTCTAAAAGGGTTAAAGACTTAAATGTAAGACTTAAAACTTCTAGGAGAACACATGGGTGGAATTCTTCATTACATTGGATTTGGCAATGATTTATTGAATATGATACCAAAAGCAACGCCAACTAAAGCAAATTAGACAAATAGGACTACATCAATATTTAAAATTTTTGTACTAAAGGACATTATGAACAGAGTGAAAAGACACGACAGAATGGGAGAAAATATTTGCAAAACTCACATATGATAAGGGATTTATATTCATAATACATAAAGAACTAAGATTCAACAACAACAAACCAAGTATAGACAAAGGACTTGAACAGACATTTCTCAAAAAAAATCCACAAATTGTCAAATAAGTATATGAAAATATGTTCAACATCACCTAGTCTTGGGGAAATGCAAATTAAAAAAAAAAACCAGTGAGATACTACTACCTCTACCCATTAAGGGGGCTAAATCAAAAACAACAAAAATTTTAAAAGTGTTAAGATGTTGGCCAGAACCTATGACTGTGGAAATAGACTTTTTCCCTTAGTATTGGTGATTGAAGCCCATAGGTGCTCTACCATTGAGCTGCATCCCCAGTCCTTTTTATATTTGTTTTGAGATAGGGTCTTGCTAAATTGTGCAGGTTGGCCTTGAACTTGCCATCCTCCTTCCTCAGCTGCCCAACAGGCTGTGATCATAGGTGTGTACCACCATCCCCAAAGGGAACAGACTTAAAAAAATAGACAAGTGCTGCCGGGTGTGGTGGTGCATGCTTGCAATCCCAGAAGCTTGGGAGGCTGAGGCAGGAGAATTATAAGTTCAAATTCAGCCTTAGCAACTTAGTGAGGCCCTAAGCAACTTAGTAAGGCCCTAAGCAACTCAGTGAGACCCTGTATCTAAATAAAGTACACAAAGAGGTTGGGATGTGACTCAGTGGTTAAGCACTCCTGGGTTCAATCCCGGGTACCAAAAAAAAAAAAAAAAATAGACCACTGCTTTCCAAACACAGGGATAAATTTAATAAAATGTGAGAATGACAGTTGAAGAATGGTGCTCTGGCTTCCCTCCACAAGTAAAGTGTAACAGCTAACAGCAGGCAGGCCTTTTGGGTATGTTTCAAGTCAATGAAAATTCTAAGTTACTCCAAGAAAGGAAACTACTTTAAAACATTATTTCACGCTTGTCTGAAGGATCCCTAATTCATTCATTTAATGAATATGTACTATGACCACTGTGCATTACGTAGAAATACTTAATGTGGGTAAGTGAATACGGTAGTTCTTAGAAGACAGTTAATCTAGTTCTTGCAAGTTAAAGCAGGACAGCTTAAGTGTAATTTAGGCATTTCAGTTCTTGCCAAATTTTATTACTGACTATTAATAGCTGGATTTGGCTTCCTGTGCTTCTTTCAATAAGAGCCCTGGAGAGGGCTGGGGATGTGGCTCAAGCAGTAGCGAGCTCTCCTGGCGTGCGTGCAGCCCGGGTTCGATCCTCAGCACCACATACAAACAACGATGTTGTGTCTGCCGATAACTAAAAAATAAATATTAAAAAAAATTATCTCTCTCTCTCTCTCCCTCTATCACTCTCTCTTAAAAAAAAAAAAAGAGGCCTGGAGACCCATCCAAGGGCTGTCTAAAGATGGTTATGTGATATTTAGCTACTGCAATGCTGATTTCAGATCTCTACTTGTGGGATTTTCTCTTCTTCTTTTTTCCTCCATTTTTAAAATGAACTTTAAAATTTTTTAGAAATTGCATCTGGGGAAAACAATAAATTCCCTCCCTTCAATTAGGCAGATGAAAGACAGAAATAAAGCAAAAGGGGGAAATGAAGACAACATGACAAAGCAGATTAAATGATCAAAAGTAGTGATTTATAGATGATTAGCAATCAAGTCCCCTTTTTTTCCCTTTTTTGGTTGAGGTGCGTAATCCCATTTAAACCAGAGTCTCCCACTTGCAAGCATAGCCTTTGCTATCTGGCCCTTCCTGGCAGACACTTTCCTCCCTGTTTTTCACACTCTCTGTATCTTATGAAGCTCCACAAACTGGGTCACTTCATCCAAGTGAGGCCACCACTTATACAGAAACCTCTCTGCAATGATTCTCAGCCAGGGCGTGACCCTCGCTTCGCCCCTGGCTGCCTTTTCCAGGAGCTCTTCCAATTCCTCCTGGGCCAGGTAGCAGCAGCTGTCAACTTCGTCGGGATCTGGGTGGATGGTCACATTCTTCTTCACTAAGAGAAGGTAGCAGATCTCATGTTCTCCCCAAATTTGATCTGATTTTGCTTTGTAAAAATATCTTGTCATAAACACTATGTCCTCTGTAGAAAGCTGCGGCAGAAATTGATGCAATATTAATAACATTAGCATAAAATACAGTGTACAGGAAAAAGGAGAAAATAAACACATTTGTTTACCTCAGAGGAGATAAACAAATTCTGTTGGTAATTGATTATTATTCAAACCTTAATTTTAAATGATTTTTTTTCTTTAAGGGGAGATTGCAAACTTTATTGGCACTAACACAAAAATAAAATTGATTCAAGAAATGGCAGATCACTTTGACAATGCACAATTTTTATGCAGATGTATGCATTATGCATTTTTATGCAGATTTATGGATGCATGCTACCTTTTAAAATTGCCTTTGAGACCTAGGAATGGGTATAAAACAGCTGATACAGATGGGAAAAGCTTGTAGACTCCCTGAAAAGTCAGTTAGCCTTAGCAGATGTGATCTTTCTCAGGTTTTTTCCTTAATGTTATGACGATGGACAAATACCAGGTCCATATTTGGGACATATATGGCATGAATATTCTTTCCTTCCAAAAAATGATGATGATGTAATCAGTGGCACTTTGGTGTGTCAAGGGTTTCTGGTGAACACTCTACAGGTGTGGTCTTGTTTTTAACCATTGGTTGTCTCAGTAGACATTGGTTTGATTGCTCTGGAACAGCTGGAGAGCTGTTGCTCAGGCCTATTCCTGTCCCCTGCTGTCATGGGATATGCCCTTCTCATTTGAAACTATGTCATCTGTGATGGGTATGTCTAAGTCCAAGGGCCTAAGACTCCCTGTGTATTCACTTGGAAACTGTTCCTAAGGAGCAATGGTCCTTGTATCTACCGTGTTAGTACCAGAAGTGCAAAGACTGCTAGTGGTCTACACTGTTAATGAACTTCAGAGGTTCAGTCCATGATCAGCCAACTCTATTGCCCTGGCCAAGATGAGCTGTAGCATCATGGCTAAAAGCATGGCGAAGGAAAGCTGCTCACCCTGTGGTAGCCAGGGAGCAGAGAGAACTAACTAAAGTTTTGTGGACTCAAGTCTGAATAATAATCTGACTTTGRTTTCCTTGCTGTAACAAATGTATCTCTGTCCTATTTTGAAGGACCAACTCCTCCACCTGCAACAACAGAAAAACCAATGAAAACTGGCCATCCTCTCTCACCTACTGGCTTTACAGATAAAGTTAACAAATGGGTAATGGACAGTCACGGCTGATCCTGGGCATTCCTTTTAGCGTACACTGCAATTTCTTCTTCAATTTTTTTTATAGAAAACCAGATTCCTGAACCATCCCAACCCTGCCAAGAACAAACCAATGTGCTATGACCCTGTCCTCTGCAACAGCACCATTGCCAGGCCAAGGGCACAGATCCAGTTCCTGGGACAGCACAGTTGTTACTGGGCAGATATTCGTACCTGCTCCTGGGGAATTCCCAGCTCAGCCTGCAGGCGTCTCAGGGCTGCCCTCTTCACTCCCAAGGCGTCCTTTTCTTCCAGTTCTGCAGGGTTGTATAATGGGTGACTACTACAGGAGTCAGAAAAATGCCCTGGAAAAAACATACAAGGGAAACATCCCTCTTACTTTATTTGAATATATTAAATACAAATACAGACTCTTTGGGTAAAATTGTCATTATCTGTCATCATCAGCCTGGCAGGTGGGAAGTGCAGGTTTGCTATGGTGCTCAGGGCAGAGCCTGTGTTCCTGCTGCCATGGGGTGAGGGTTTGGGTGAGGTGCCTCTAGGTGACTACTTGCGGAGCTGTTCTTAAGACTCAGCCTTGGCTGCCTGCTGCAGGTGCTCACCCACATGCCCTGTTGCACTCTCCAAGTCAGTCTCAGGACCAGAAGCGGTTCTTGGGCAGATTTATGTCCCATGATGGATCTGAAATCCCATTTGAGAGAAGAAGAGATGAGCGCATGTGTGTATGGCATCGGTGGATTTAGAGTCTTGCTGGGGAAGTAAAGGGCATATGTGGGAGTGTTGGGCTTGGGACACACCACCTCGAAATATGATGGCAGGAATAGGAGATTGGGAAATGCCACACCAAAATTGCTGCTTTGGACTCCAAACTGAGAAAACCTGGAAAAGAGCAAGTGGAGGAGGGGGCTTGCTCTGAACTTGCCCTATCTGACCAGAGAAAATGAAAACAACATTATACATCTTCTCCCTGGGAAGTCAGTAAGATGCCCAGCAAAGATCCACCAGCAGAAATTGGAGGGGCTCCCCACCCAGATAGCTTTTTCACAGGTGGCACCTATTTTGACAGTTCCTCCTTGAGATCTCCTATTACCTGGGAAGATTTTATATTTGCATCACAAGGCAATCTTTATTCCCCATATTATTTTTTCCTTTACTCTTCCATAACTTGTCCCACTTCCCTCCAGAAGTCCCTGCCCCTATTCTTTTCTGTAGCTCAGGATAATTTATGAATGTCATCATCTGCTATCCTCGCTTCTAAAGGGATATTCTTACATTTGTCATGATCTTAGGAAGTATAGAAAAATTCAGTCTTAAGACTTGGATGGTAGGATGATAGTTTCTATCATTATCTTCTTTTTTTAATATTTGTTTTTTAGCTTTAGGTGGACACAATATCTTTATTTTATTTTTGTGTGGTGCTGAGGATTGAACCCAGTGCCTTACACATGCCAGGCAAGTGTGCTACCACTTGAGCCATATCCCCAGCCCTCATTATCTTCTTAATTTTATGTTTAAATATTATTTATTTTAGTTCCCCAATACCTTAGACGGATAAGTTCTTCTGGATTTAAATAGCTTTATACTGCCAGAAAAAAAAAATCCCAACTAGAAAAAACCCAGGCCACTGAAGAAATACCAGATTGGTAAGTATGGGTCTGCAGTTTCCTCCTAAAATGTCATCTGGCTGTGCAGATAATTAATGTCTCGGAATCCGCCAGGTCAGATTACATGGAAAGTTTCTGTTAAGTCATAGGTTCAACTGAGTGGACTTACCAGGAAAAGTCAGCTTGATGTCTGATCGCGTCTGAATCAGGACTTTCTTCTCTGTATTGAACAAAACCACACTGAAGGCTCTGTGCAGCAGCCCTGGGAGGACAAGCCCAAGACTGTGAGTGAACACGGGGAGTCCTTGCAATAGTCATCGGTTCTGTCCTCAGTCTGCGTCTTGTCTGAAAAATCTGTATATGACCTTTGAGTCCCTACTCAAGCACATGCAGTTGTCTAAATTGACATTTTGAAACCTTTAAGTAATTAAACTTGTTTGACAAAGTGAAACTCAAAGTAAAAGTTTAGGCTTGTCAGAGAAGACCAGAGCTGGATGGTAGTTCAATCAGGAAAACCAGATTTTATTCACAACTATTGCAGTAGGGGAAAAGAGACCTTAGAGTAGCTCTGGTATCAACTCTGAAATCAGCACTGGCAGGAGGGAATTTGTCCCTAAGGAGCAAAATGGAGGAAGGCCGAGGGAAAATTTCTAGGAGGGTATGTCTGGGGCAAGAGGCATTCCAATTAGGTCTACAGGATTAATGTGGTTCTTTCTCAAGACCTGGGTGATCAGACATCACCTGAGGATGGTGTGGCATGAGGACCTGAGCAGATACAGAGGGCAGGAGTCTCTCTGAACCAAGTTAGCAGGATTCTTGCTTGAGCTGGGTTTTATAAGGGGAGCGCACAGTTGTCTGGGAGGCTCGGACTCTGCTGACACTTAGGCTGAGCAGAGACTCTTTGTCAAGGTGGGTGCCTCAGAATCTTTTCCCAAAAAGAGAAGCGGTGAAAGGACAAGGTGCCCATATGGCCTCCTTATGCAAAAAGCCCAGATTCGCCTGCCTCTCCATCTCTCTCAGGTGGGAAAAATGAGAAAATCTTGCAAAATTAACAAAAAAACATGCGGTGCCACCTTTCTTGATGTTCTCGTTCAGATGGCAGTTCCTCTTGGTGTCTTCCCCAAGGACCTTGTCATCTTCATCAACCACAACAAGCATTTCCTTTAGGCGTTGTAGTTGATGTTCACTGAGCCAGTCGGGATGGACTTCAGACATAGCTGCGAGCTGGAGCCAGCCTGAAATGGGTGCATGACATTTCCTCTTGTGCAGAGGATCATATCTAATTTTTGCTATTTGTTACCAAGCACCTCAGGATTTATCATATGGTATTGAAGTAGAACTATTGTTAGATATAAGAGGTGTATGGTGTTTATAATTTAGTGTCTTTCTGAATAGGAAATCTTGGAGAGAGATATATATACAAATATCATACATATAGATATGTAACATGTTATATATGATATACATTATATATATTTGTCATGTATACATATCATATATAATATATATAAATTATATATATCATGCATATATATGTGTGATTATTATGTATATATAATATATATGTATATGTATGATATGTGTGTGTATATATGTGTGTGTGTGTATATAAAATATATTCCCTAGGGGTCCTTCAATGAAGATTCAAACAACAAACAAACCCCCACAAAAGAAATAAGTGCAAGTTCAGATAACATTATTTGTAGTGTTTTTTGGGAAAAGGAATCAGGATTGGAACAGATGTGGCGATTTCGCCACCTTTTAGAAAAGCTGCATTGACCTGAGTCTCATGCATCCTCTTCAGAGCCAGATAGATCCCCACATAACAATTTCCCCAGATCATATTTTCAGTACCATTTATTTTCACCAAAATCTTTTCATTATCCCTTCCTACTTTTTAATGAATTGCAATTGCTTCTGTCCCTTGTCATTATTCTATTATTATTTTCAGCAATCCGTTCATCCTCTTAGTAAAAAGGCTGCTTGACTAGACATGTGGACTGGGGACAGAACACAAATATAGAGAGAACAAGTGCTGAATAGGTACAAAATTTGATCAATAGGCAAAAGAATTCCCATGAGAAAAAGAATACGCACTAACCGTTCGTGGAAATTTGAGACTCCTGGGTGTCAGGTGTGGAGCTGAGCACTCAGATTGAACCAGGGTCTTTTATACCTTTGAGGTGTGTGGAAAGATGCCATGAAGATGATCTCAAAGATTTATATTCTAAACATGAAACCATACCCTGACCTTTCTCTGCTTCTGTCTTTCCATCAGACTTCTGCGTATTCGTGGTACACACCTTCTTTTGAAAATTTTTATTCAACCTGTAAACCAATGTTCCAGGTGTCACTCATTTGTTTAACAGGCCAGATCATACCATCTCCAGTGCCTTGGAATGTAACAAACCATTTCCATTGTTCAATGACTTGCTTTGTGAATCAGATGATCATAGAAAATCATTTTGACTCAACTTCACCTTTTTTAGTGTATTTTTTTAAAGAAAACTTTAGTTGTCGATAGATAGACCTTTATTTTATTGATTTATATGTGGTCCTGAGAATCGAACCCAGTGCCTCACACATGCTAGGCAAGCGCTCTGCCACTGAGCCACAACTCTAGCCCATTGCATTTGGTTTTTAAATTTAGGAGAAGTTATGTTCTGTTGCATGGTATGTTGATGTTTGCGTAAGGTGGCATTTCAAATAGATATGGAAAAGGTAATTATTTGAGTATTGATGGGATATCTGGCTTGCTTTTTTAAAGGAATAAAGTTACTTTCTTACTTCTCCATATGAATTTAAAATGTGTGCTTAGTTTGCTCTTCTTTTTTCTAGTTTCTTTCTTTTTTTTTAATTTATTTTTTAGTTTTCGGCAGACACAACATCTTTGTTTGTATGTGGTGCTGAGGATCGAACCCGGGCAGCACACATGCCAGGCGAGCGTGCTACCGCTTGAGCCACATCCCCAGCCCCTAGTTTCTTAATGTGTAAACTTTTGTTATTGATTTGACTTCTTCTTCCTTCCTTTTTTCTTTTCTTTCTTTTTTTTGATATAGGCATTTGTAGCTATAACTTTCTCCTAAACACCATGTACCAGTTATGTTGTGGGCATTTTTCTTCCTGCTTGGTTAAGGGCTGGGGATACAGGTCAGTGATAAAGTGCTTGCATAGCATGTGTGAGGTCCTAGGTTAGATCCCCAGCACTAAATAAATGAACAAATAAATATTTGGTTGATTTCCTTTGTGATTTTCTTTGAATTGTGAATTATTTGGTAGTGTGCATTTAATTTTCAAATATTCCTGGATTTTCCAAATGTCCTTCWTTTGTTGATTTCTAATTTTATTTCACTGAAGTCAGAGAATATATTTTGTATGGTTTAGATCCTTTTAAATTTATTGAGATTTGTACATGGCCAACTATACCCTAGAGAGTATACTATATGTGCTTGAGAGGAATATGTATTTTGTTGTCTCTGGTTGGAGTGCTTCATAGATGTCAATAAGGCCAACTGGGTGGATCACAGTCTACATTCTTGCTGATTTTCAGTTTAGTTATTGTGTCCATTATTGATCATAGATACTGAAGTCTCTATTATTGATGAATTGTATATTTTTCCCTTCAATTCTGTTAGTTTTTGCTATACACAATTTTGGAGCTCTTTCATACATAAGTATATGCTTGGAATTCTTAATTCTTCCTGATCGATTAGCCCTTCTCTCAATATAAAATTTCTTTCTTTGCTTCTAGGAATGTATTTTGTCCCAAGTCTGTTTTATTCATTATTAATATATGACTCTACTTTTTWTTCTGGGTACTGGTCTCATGGTGTATCTTTTTCCAGTCTTTTATTTTCAATCTATTTGTGTTTTTGAAACTACGGTGTGTTTCTTGTAGAGAGAATATAATTGAATTTTTAATCCAGTTTCTAATGACAATTTCTGACTTGATTTGAATATTTAATCCACTCACACTGAATATCATTATTCTTTTTTCATATTAGCATGTTTTATTAATTCACCTTAGTGTCATTATTGAATTAGATGAATTTATACCTGCCTTTTCAATTTTTTTTTCTTTACTTGTAGATGGACACAATACCTTTATTTTATTTATTTATTTTTATGTGGTGTTGAGGATTGAACCCAGGGCCTCATACATGCGAGGCAAGCGCTGTGCCACTGAGCCACAATCCCAGCCTACAACTCCCATTTTTTATTTTGTGTTTTTTTGTCTATAAGTTTTGTTTTTGATCCATTTATCTTCCTTTACCACCTCCTTTATAGTAAATATGTATTTTCTGCTGTATCATTTTCTTCTTGTGTTTATATTTTATGAGAAATTTTCTTAGTGGTGCTTTAGGCATTACAACATGAATCTGAACTTTTCACATTCTACTTTAGAGTAAAACTAGCTTAATTCTAGCAAAATACAGACCTAAGCCAAAACAGCCCCACTCTCCCCTCTGTTGTGCTCCTATTAGGCCTGTATATGTACTAAACTCAGCAGTACAGCACTGTAATATTCTCTTAAATCCACTTCAATCAGCCATTCCACTAAAATTACTTTTAATGTGCTCTGTGAGAGTTTATTCCAGCGGACCTAGAATTCACCTGAGCTGATTGGCTGCAGTTCTAACTTGTCATTGACCCTTTGTAAAACGCATAACATGAATTTATAGTCTTGGTTTGTGTCCATGGGTCTAAGAAATCTTAGGGTGGTTTTTCCCACTTTGTCAGCATTGCTTACTGATAACAGCGAGATAGATCATTTGTATATGGTCCCAGTGAGACTCAGAAGGGTTGAGCTGTTGGGACTAGTTATGTGATAGAAATGGCTCCCAAGGCTCTGGAACATTTGCTGTGAGGAAATCAGATTTAGTGACAAAGCTGCAGTTGTTAAAAGACTGTCAGTTTATTTTTGGTGTCTTGAAAATTGTTGTCACTATAGTTTTCTCTTTTTTATTCCAAAGCTATTAAGTGCAATTTTTGTAATATTTATTTATCTATTGGTACTAGGGTTGAAACCCAGGGGTGCCACTGAGCTACATCCCCAGCCTTTCTAATTTTTATTTTGAGACAGGGTCTCACTAAATTGTGAAGTTTGGCTTTGAACCTGCAATCCTCTTGCCTCAGTTTCCCCACTCACTGGGATTACAGGCATGTGCCCCTGTGTCCGGCTATAATTTTCTTTATATCCAATTTTCTTCTTTTTGCACATACTATTGGGAAAAGGGCAATACAAAAAAAGATGATGAAGGAAGGAAAGGTCCAGGAGCGGGAGAGAAACAGAGAGCCGGATAGTGTGGATATCCATAGCACCACTCATCCACTTTCCAATCTCTTCCTTGTCAACTTTTATTCGCAYGCTTGCCTTGGCAGCACATATACCAGAATTGAAACAATACAGGGAAGATGGGCACGGTCCCTGTGCAAGGATGACATGTAAATTCACCAAGTGTTCCGTAGTTTTTTCTCTCATGTGCGGAAGCTAGATCAAAATAAGGGGGAAAAGTGGTGGTGGGGCATCCCATGAAAATGGAAGAGAGATCAGGGGAGTGGAGGAAGGGGAGTGAGGAGCAGGGAGGAGCAGTGGGAAAAGGGAGGAACACCAGAAATGATATCCACCAAACTATCGTGAGTGTGTATAAATATACCACAGTGAACTTCACCTTTATGTATATYTATAAAGCAGAGATATACATTTAAAAAATTCTAATTTAAAARGAAATATGAGAAAATAGAAGAAAGACCAGCAGAGGAAAGRCAACAGGGGAGAGAGGAAGGGAGGGAAAGGCAAAGCGCTGGGGACAGAATTGGAGCAAATTGTACTCAAAGCCTGTATAATTCTGTCAAAATGAACCCCACTATTATATATAACTCTAATGCAGTAATAAAAACAGTGAAAGAAAAAAAWTTTTAATTCATTCCCTTTTCTCTTTCCTTTTGCTTCTCACTTTGTGTTTTCATTGATTAAATGAAACTCACTCAGATTGCTTAGCTTGGTATCTGAAATGGCTTGCCTTGAAGTGCACTTTGAATCTACCTCCTCATCAAGGTGATCTCTGCGTGACGTCACATAGTAATGCCATATACTTTATCATTTGGTTTATGACCATGGCGGTGCTGCAGGGCAAGTTGTAAAAGGATGGTTTGTCCAACAGATTATATTGGGTAAACTGGATATTCATAAGAAAAAATGAATCTTGACATAGACCTTATACCATACTCAAAATTGATTGTAGATGGATTGTAGTTCTAAATATGAAAGGTAAATCCATAAAAGCTTTTAGAGGAAAACAGAACATCTTTATGACTTTGGAGTAGGAAAAAAATTAAGAGGATTTAAAGAACATTACTTACAAAGGACAAAATTGACAAACTGGGTCATATTAAGAAATTATTTTTCTAAGAGATACTATTAAATAGAATGAGAGGAACCCCCAAGAAAGGGAAAAGATACTTGCAATGCTTATATCCAAAATGGCTGTGTTATTCAGAATATAGAACAACTCTGACAAATCATGAAGAAAAGACAACACAATAAAACAGAAATTGGCAAAATCTCAAACTACCACATCACAAAACAAACAAACAAAAGCAGTATCTGAGTGGCAATAAACATGAAAAAAGAGTCAATTCATTAGTAATGGTGAGAGGCAAAATGAAATATGACATGGAACCACCCATATTCCCACAGAAATGACAAAATGAAAAAAAGAGACAACACCAAGTTTGAAACAACCTCGGGGGCCAAACATACCTGTATGTACCTGTATTACAAACATAATACAGAGTGGGAAAAAAAATCCAGATTCAGAAAAAATGCATTCCATTTATATGCAGCTCAGGATCAGGCAAAACTAGGCTATACTGTTTGGGAATCCATAGTCTGCAAAATTATAAAGAAAAACAAAGATGTGTTAACCATAGAAATCAAGGAGGGGGCCACCTGTGTGTGTACTTGATAATTATCTGTTAAATCCAACAGCTGTATCTTATGTACTTTTCCATGTTTATATAAAATATGTGGATAAATGCATACATTTATTATTTCACAATAATTTATTTTGTAAAAAAATAAATAGAAAAGAATAAATTTGGGTACACAGCACACATTGACAGTCAGTTCCTTGGCCTCCGAATCTACCTTCTGGCCTCTTATACTGACAGGGGTCCAATAGTCCTGCTAGCTAGAGTGCAGAGTCCACTATGACTTATTTCCATATTGGTTCTCGTAATCACTCAGTTTCAAGGCCCTCATTTTCTATTTAAGATTGAAACCAAGTATTCTATAATTAAACTAACCCCTATCTAAATCCACATTCCCAGCCCTTTCAGCAGAAAGTCAGGTTTGGGCTGATTGTCAGGACTGCCCTTATTGGGTTCAGATTAGGGTCCTTCTGTTTCTCTGATTTACTACCAAATCCTCAGATTTTCCTTGAAGTCATAAAAGTGCAAAGGAGTTTATTACACTTCTTTCCCACATGTACAGCTTAGGTAACTCTTCCTTCCAGGCGACTCCTCTCAGTGACTCAAAGGGAATGTTCTATAGAATGGCTGACTTGAGGCATTTTATCAAGGAAATCAAGGAAAAGACATTATTGGGCCTGTGAAGGTACAAACCTGGGTGGAGAGAGTAAGAGAATCTACCTTATCACATTCTAAGGGACACACAAAATACGAGATTTACTTTGCAGCAGAATAAGCATTTCAGTAAAATAAACAAAAGGAGAAGGAAAATAGACATGAGGTACCCATGCACGTGTTCCTCAGCCTTTGGCTGGGATTCCGTGAAGACTTCATTAAATAATCTCAGAGGTATCTGCTGAATGACAGAGACAACATGTTCAAAGGATGGAGCTAGTACAAAGTCAGTTTGTCCTCTCAGTGCCACTGCAGGTGTTGGTTTCAGCTGGCATCACTTAATACCTCATTGATATCTGTCACTGTCATTGGATTCGTCATGTCATGGGTGTTGAATACAGAAACTTCCAAAGTTTCAGTTGTGTCCATACCAGAGTACCATTGTGATTTTCTCACTGTAGCAGATGATGCAGTTCCCATCACTCTATAGCTAGTGACTACCAACATTTCCCTATAAGAAGCCCAGTGCTGAGGACGGTACCCTGAAATTTCACTACAGAGAAGAAAAAATAATACACACAGAAAAAATTTAAATTGCCCACACTAGAGTATCCTAACTATCTATATAACACAGTTGTCTGTTTATAAAGCAACCTGGAATGTAAAGCTGTCCTTCCCTTACAAAATAAACACAGGAAAAAAATGAGGATTAGTTCTCTCCCTATATGAATGGTACTAACATCAATTAATAATGAAAAATGCTTTTGTATCTAAATTCATTTAATTTGAACAACAAACCCCAGAGTTCTACCATGACTCAGTTTCGAGTCAAGGAAAGTCAAGTGCTGAGTTTGGGAATATGTACAAGATCATCCAGATAATAGTTGCAGAGTTGTGCTCTGTGTCATGTTTTATTTTTATTATTATTATTTTTATTTGTTCTACTTAGCAGTACATGACAGCAGAATGCATTTCAATTCATCACACACAAATGGAGTGCAACATTTCAATTCTCTGGTTATACACAGTATAGAGATGCACCATTCATGCAATCATACATGTTACTAGGGTAATGATGTCCATCTCATAACACCATCTTTCTTTCCCCCATAACCCGCCCCACCCTCCTGTTTCCCCAATTCAAAGTTTCCCATGACTCCCCTGCCATCATAGTCAGCATCTACTAAACAGAGAAAACATTCAGTTTTTGGGGACTGGCTTACTTCACTTAGCATAATATTCTCCAACTCCATCCATTTACCTGCAAATGCCATAATTTTATTCTCTTTTAATGCTGAGTAATATTCCATTTGTTATGGGCCAGGGTATATGAACAATGCCCCAAAAGACTCTATTTTACCCTGAGATTCCATATCATGTAAGAAATGCTTCTCCCATGGGAAAGCCTGGCTCTGTACCCATTAATAGTTACCTAGCATAGCATACCTGGCCATTCACAAAATAGCAATTCTTATACAATGTAAATTTTTTCTCTTTGGTTTCCATTTTTCTTGGGCAATGTACCTTGTCAGAGATTGATTGTCTAGACGTTAGTAACCATTCTCTAACTTGTACTGAACTAGGGTCATTTTGATCCAGTTCCCTTCTGCTTGCTTGCTGCTATACCAACCTGGAAAGTCCTGTGGGAAATACCAATGTACCCATTGCATTGTCTCGCTAACTGCCCAGTTCAGCTTCTGTACCTGCTTGCTTGCAGCTACGTCAACCCAGATGTGGTTTTTGCGTTTAAATAACCTAAAATGCTCAGGCTCAGGGCTGTTCCTTGCAGAGACAGTTATGGGTACTGTGGGGAGCAGTCGCCAGCCAGCCAGCCAGCTAAATAAAAACTCTTCAATTTGGACAAAACAGGAACTTGGTGTGTTTTCTGAGAGACCTGCCCCACAACACGTTGTGTATAAATACCACAGTTTCTTTATCCATTTATCTATTGCTGGGCATCTAGGTTGGTTGCACAGTTTAGCTATTATGAATTCAGCTGCTATAACATTGGTGTGGCTATGTCACTATAGGATGCCGATTTTAAATCCTTTGGGTATAGACCAAGGAACGGGTTAGCTGGGTCAAATGGTGGTTCCATTCCAAGTTTTCGGTGGAATCTCCACTCTGCTTTCTAAAGTGGTTACACCAATTTGCAGTCSCACCAGCAATGTAGGAGTATAACTTTCCCCCCATATTCTCTCCAAGACTTATTATTGCTTGTATTCTTGATAAATGCCATTCTGACTGGATTTAGATGAAATCTTAGAGTAGTTTTGATTTGCATTACTCTAATTTCTAAAGATATTGAACACTTTTTGATATATTTGTTGTTCACTTGTTTATCTTCTTCTGAGAAGTGCCCATTTGTTGATTGGGTTGTTTCTTTTTTTGGTATTAAGTTTTTTGAGTTCTTTATATATCCTAGAATTAGTGCTCCATCTGATGTGCATGTGGTAAAAAATTGCTCCCATATTGTAGGCTCTCTCTTCACCTCAATGTGTTTATTTTGCTGAGAAGAAGCTTTTCAGTTTGAATCCATCCCATTTATTGATTCTTGAYTTTATTTCTTGCATTTTAGGAGTCTTGTTAAGGAAGTTGGGGCCTAAACCAACYTGATGAAGATTTAGGCTTACTTTTTATTCTATTGAGTGCAGGGTCTCTGGTCTAATTCCTAGGTCTTTGATCCACTTTGAGTTTTGTGCATGGTCAGAGATAGAGGTTTAATTTCATTTTGCTACATATGAATTTTCAATTTTCCCAGCACCATTTGTTGAAGAGGTTATCCTTTCTCCAATGTATGTTTTTGGCACCCTTTTCTAATATAAGATAACTGTATTTATGTGGGTTAGTCTCCATGTCCTCTATTCTGTACCATTGGTGTACATGTCTATTTTGGTGCCAATACCATGCTGTTTTTGTTACTATATCTCTGTAGTATAGTTTAAGTTCTGTTATTGTGATGCCTCCTTCTTCACTTTTTTTTTTATCTTATTTTTCCAAATGAATTTCATGATTTCTTTTTCTAGTTCTATGAAGAATGTCATTGGGATTTTAATAGGAATTGCATTAAATCTGTATAACAGTTTTGGTAGTATGGTCATTTTGACAATTTWAACTCTGCCTATCCAAGAGCACAGGAGATCTTTCCATCTTCTAAGTTCTTTTTAAATTTCCTTCTTTAGTGTTCTGTAGTTTTCATTGTAGAGGTCTTTCACCTCTTTTTGTTAGATCAAGTATTTTATGTTCTTTGAGGCTATTTTTTAAATATTTATTTTTTAGTTGTAGTTGGGCACAATATCTTTATTATGTGGTGCTGAGGATCGAACCCAGGGCCTCACCTGTGCTAGGCGAGCACTGTACCGCTGAGCCACAATTGCAGCCCTTGAAGCTATTTTTGTTTCTTTAATTTTTATTGTTGGTTGTTCAAAACATTACCTAGTTCTTGACATATCATATTTCACACTTTGATTCAAGTGGGTTATGAACTCCCATTTTTACCCCGTA